TCTCTCTCTCTCTCTCTCTCTCTCTCTTTCTAGCTATGGATCTCTCTCTCTCTCTCTCTTTCTCTCTCCTTCTCTCTCGCTCTCTCTCTCTCTCTCTCTCTTGCTTTTGTTCTCTCTCTCTCTTTCGATGCTTTGGTCAGTTTGACCAAAGCTGTGCCGACACAGGCACTCTACTCGCTGATGGCAGCCATGAGAACATCAGCAGACTGGTAAAAGCGAGAAAGAGGGGTCTAAGGGTGCGCCCATGAGAACTTCGGCAAGCATACGTAGAGCAACGGTATAATGAGGGACGGAGAGGCCGGAGGACGAAGGGTCTTGAAGCACTATACTTATTTTGTTTACTTTGAAGTAGTTTATTTATTTTGTCTACTTTGTTTATTTATTTATTTATCTTGTTTTGATTTCGCAGGAAGAAATTTTCGGCCGATATTGGAATGCGGATACCGGTCTTCCTGGTTACGAAAATAGCACGGGTCTTTTTGGGTACCGGCGTGATCGTAGAATAGGATGAGAGAGGGGCATGTTCTTGGGCACTTAGGGAGGCAGATTTTGAGGCCGTTTTTCGAAGCTAGACTCGTCGACAGTTAGTCGCAACGTGTCTTGACCGGCGGGTCATGTGAAGTGCGTATTTAGATCTTGTTGGTGATCGGGGATACAAACTCGCGGGGCGAGCAGAGGAGATCGTACACGGGCATTACTATATAGCATGGGAGACATGGCCTTAGTCTCCCTTTTTTAGCACAGAGACTCGGAGTCCTCGGAGTCACCCTCCTGATGATGCCCGCGCGGACGGGCGTAACCGGTCGAGGGACCGCATGTCTGCTCCTTTCAGTCTTCAAGCAAGTGTGACTTTCATTTTTGTGAACTCGTTTGCGTGCTTGTGAAAATGATGGTGTCGGCTTGTGTTGGCTGGTCGAGCTGTGTGGCCGCAACTCTCCTACTCTTGGGCACGTAGTAACCGCCAGTCTGTTCGCGTTGTGTGGTGGTTGTGTCGACATGCGAACTTCATCGTCATCTTGATCCTCATCCTGATCTTCATCTTGATCTTCATCTCCGTCTTATTTAGAACATGACGAAAGAGAGGACGATCGAATTGCTTACAAGGTAAGTTCGAGTTGGGGGTGATAGGCGGAAGTCATGTCCTCCGCGGGCGATGCTCTGGTTACTAAGGTATCACAAGTGGTGCAGATTGGGAGTGGATCAACGTACTAGTGGGGTATGGACGTGGTACACATGGGTAGATAATGCAGCTAGCGGAGATGGTGGCAAAAACGATCATGACAGGATACGAGTTGGAGAGTAGCGAGCGTTAGGATCAAAGAGGATTTTGGTATTAGTCGGGCTTACGGGCGCACACCGCAGGGGGGTATAACCATGATTGCGTTAACTGGGGATTACAGGAGGCGAAAGGGGGCGAAAAAGATCAGGTGGATAGCTCCGATCGAAGGATAGCGCGTGTTTAAAGGAGTTTGATTAGTAGTATCGTGAGGCAAGGGTTCGGAGGTGCGATAGGTGGTGAGTTCTAGGATCGAGAGAAGATCAAGACGGAAAAGGGGAAGTGAGGAGATGGGGGGAAGAGGGATTAGAGTTATCTGGCACGGGATTGGTGTGATATTATGTGGGTTGGGTTTGATTACGATTGGTTCAGTTTTCTGACATGATGGATACTCCATGCGCTAGTTGTGGGGGATCGTGTGGTAGGGGACAATGATTTATGATCGTGCGATCTTAGACTAATACGTGCGCTGGAGGATTACATAGAGGACACTGTGCGACTGATGCACTACATGGTAGGATTCGCTGATAACGAGAATTTAAGGAACGGACTGTACGATTGTCTGATGAGTCTGATGATAAAGATCAAGACAACTCTGCTAGCATTGAAGACTAGATGCACCATCCAATATAGGGAGATTATCGATATATGGAGAGAATAGAATCTTGATAATCACTTAGAACGAGGATTCGGGAGGTTGGATCTTACGACACGGTAGCGGGTACGGAGGAAGGGCGTGCGCTTGTGCAGATAAGTAGAGATAGGGGCACGAGACGGTAGTAGGATACGCGGCAGACATATCGGCGGCAAAGATGTATCTGACCACTGGACCGGCGGGTGGTGGCGGACAAGGTGTTGTGAACGGTCAGCAGATCGGTAGTGGACAGGCATATGGGGGTACGATTGGATACGCAGGAGGGGGAGGGAGAATGGGAGGAGGGAATAACGCATGCTTCAATTGCGGAAAGTTGGGACACATGGCGCGCGATTGCTGGTCGAGGCAAGGGAGAAACATGGGGGGATTACAAGGAGATCCGGAACTGGAGGAAATCAAGGAAGAGTTTAGGCTGGCTCATAAAGAGAAAACGGAACAGGAGGAGAAGAGGAGAAAGGAAGAGGAGAAGAGAATTAGAGAAGAGGAGGAGACCAGGAGAAACTTGGACTTCGCGAGGAAAGCTGAGGAGTTCAAGTTGCAGTTGCGAGATGAACTACTAGAGGAATGGAGGAAGAACCATGCAGATGCTGTGAAATCAACGGAGAAGATTGGAAAATCTGCAAAGAAGACGGAAAAGAAAAAGAAAAAGAAAAAGAAGAGGTACCGGAAAGAACACGGCAGACCGAAGAGGCAAAGGGCACGAAGGAGCAGGGGACGTGACGATTCAAGTGAGGATTCAGAATCCTCGTGCTCGACTGACGACGAGTCGAACACGTCAGACGATACGTCATCGGGATCTGAATCGGGTGGGAAGATCACACGAGACAAGATGTGCGTGAGGCGAGGGATCGGGAACCAAGGACCAAGGCCAAAACAAAGAACAACAAGGAGATGCGCACACCGATAAGGACGTACGAGAAGGGGGAGAGTTCGAAGGCTCGAAAACAACCACAGGCGGAGGAAGAGGAGATGCTGGGGACAAAATCTCCTAAGGAAGTAGAGCCTAAGACACCTCTGACTGGAGGATATAAGAGACTGGCGGCAGGGTGTTCGCAGAAAGGCTTGATAGAGTACTGCATATCGGCAAACAAAATCTATTCCGCAAAGAAGGCGGACATGCTCTGAAAGATCTGCGAACAAAAAGGAATTAAGTACACAAAGAAGCCAGAGATCGTGGAGATTCTAGCTAGACACCAGGTACAACTAGCCTACAATGGATTCGACGAGGCACAAGGTAATGATAAGGACACCATGATGACGAAGGCATCAGGGACACCGAAGAAAAAATTCGTGAAGGATAGAATTTCGATGGAGAGACCGGCTAAGAGGCAAGAACCAACCATTATTCGATCGGCTCCAGTTCAGCCGACGGAGGACTCGGACTGAAGGTTAACAACACCATCAAACGCGGAACTTTGGGAGGAGCTCATTAGATGGATGGATTGGAGGACGAAGCTAAAGGAACAGGGGACTACCGGCGAAGTAGGTAGAAGGGTAGAGTGTGCCATTACTTCGACAATGCTCCTTCTGGTGGTACAGGGACAGATACCGTGGCTAGATAAGTATATTAATAGATCAGTATGTTTGACCGACCTGTTGAAGTTAGACACTGGGGGAGTGTATATGATTGCTAGTCCATGGACTAAAAAGGTATATGTTGGTTGCACGGTTAGACCGATAATACAAAGATGGAGAGAACACTGTCGCAATACGCTTAGTGACTCCCTAGGACTGGCTCCACACCTGTATCGTTGGTTGAGGAGGTTTGGGCTGGACAAGTATGCCATTATACCGATTAGGCACATAAATGAGAAGGATGACTTCGAGTTTGAACGCTTTTTAATTGCGGATTTTAGCCCTTGTCTGAACACCAGAGATATTGGGAAGAAGGAGAGGACTACTAAGGGAAGAAGAAGGAAGGGGAGACGGGAGGGAAAAGGGAAAAGGAAGGACATGCGAATTGATAAAGTGGTAAACTTTAAGTTCGGAGATTTGGAAGTAGCCTCGTTACTCACCTGGCTAAGAGATCAGACGGAGGAAGGGGTGGGGGAGGGGGTAAACCTGCAGTGCTCAGGTGGTGAGGTGTGGATTGACAACTTGCGAAAATTAAAGAGAGCTTTGGGGGATACGGTGCTAGAAATAATGGGAACAGGACAACCTTGCGAGAAGCAAAATCGAGACTGCAGACAGGCGGAGTTGTCAGAGTCATAGATATCATACGATCCAGGACCACTACGGAACGAAATAGAGTGTTTCTGGTATCGATCTTGCGCAAGCCTAGACCAGATTCACAACTGGCGACCATGCGAGTACGAAAACTGATCGGGTTATATAAGACAGCGGGCTTGTTCACGGATAAACAAACTAAACAATGACAGCGATTGAAGATTGACAGGGTACTAACCAGGAAAACGGGGGTCAGTGTGCGGAAAAAGATATGTGTAAAATTACTATTGGACACAAGGGTACTTAAGAAGGGATTCCGTACGGTTACAGAGAGGACGATAGCGGGAGCCATAGATGATAAGGGACTGGCGGATTTTGTGAAGTCAAGAGTACGGATTGTTTGGGTGCGAAACCGAAACGTGGGGGAGCTACTGCACAACCACAGGCAATTTGCTTCGGTCGAAGAACGGACTTGCACGTGCAGTTACTTTAACTTACCGAAGCATGAGGCACATGTGCTGACGAGCTTCGCTGATCTGGATTTACCAGGTTTTGTGAAAAATGCGAGAAATATTACGAGACCGGCAAAAGCTAATAGCGTGGAAATGATTGCACGCGCTATCGTAAAGGCATGCAAGCATCTTAAAGGGGTGTCAATACCTGCTGCAGTAGACTTAGAAGAGGTATGGTCTGACAGAAGGGAGGAGACAGCGGCATGGACAGACAGCGAGGTAATTGAGTGGGGTAACCGTTTTAAGGGGTTGGTGATGACGCCGATAGATCGGAATCAGGGGGATACCGCTGTCATGTGCCCAATCCTATATCGACACGGGTTCGGGAAGACCTTCGCCTGGGAGGCGAACTACGAACTCATCGGTGGATTGGATTTGGAAATAGACATCGTCAAGGAAACCAGGGAGGATTTCCATAGGCACCACTTGGACACGATAGGTAAGTGGAGGGTCGATGTTAGACTGGGGGCAGCATATGTCATCCTGAAGCACAAGGAACTCACCCGTTGGAGGCCTATTGCACCAGCACCAGTGGGCCCTGCTGCGCTTGCGCAGAAAAGAGTAGCGAAAGCACTGCATTGCTTGCTGAAGCGACTGTCTGAGAATAGCACGTTCTATCTTAACTCTATTTCCGAGTTGTCTGGACAGTTGAGTGCCATGACGGTGAGAATGAGAGCGACAGGATGCGAGCGAGCAGTAGGGAGATGCTACGACATTAAGGACATGTTTTTCAGGATACCGCACGATGCTGTTAAGGATGCGGTGCTACAGTTACTAAGGAAGTATGAAGATGAGGGGGTCAAATAGGTAAGGGTATCCATGAGGGGAAAGATGTGTGCAATCAGCCTGAACAAAAAGAAAATGGACGGGTATGTGAGTATCTCGCTGAGAAGATTGATGACTGCGGTGGTGTTCGATTTGAGGCATTCGGTGGTCAAATGCGGACAGACACTAGTAAGACAAATTTTCGGCATTCCGATGGGAAAGTCGACAAGTCCGATACTGGCGTCCATCACTTGTGCAATGGCGGAGATGTGTTTTCTAAGAGAACTGGGATATGATAGGAGACTGGTTGGTGGATGGCGGATCGTGGATGATATCACCGTAGTGGTGGGTATCACGGCACAAGCAATGAACGAAGGATACCAGGAGCAGCTGTTTGAGAAATTTGAGTCTATCTATGATAAGCATCTAGAGATCGTACGCAAGGACGAATGCGGTCTGACTTGGGACTTTGTCGGTGGCCATATGTTCGTCAGTTGTAGACCTCTGAGGTTGCATTACGCACCGGTGACCAAGAATACAGGAGCTTTGAATAACGAAGGCAGACTGATTTTTCAAACTATGCAGGACTATAGCTCCTACTCAGCTAAGGCGGTGAAAAAGGTTGTCTTGACTGCTACAATGAAGAGACTTTGGGAACACACGACGAGTAAACAGTAGGTACTTGGTGCTGTCGGCTTTGCTATATGCGAAGCGGACCTCCGGGGATACCCCCCGGAGGTCTCTCTCGATGCTTTGGTCAATTTGACCAAAGTTGTGCCAACACACGCACTCTACTCGCTAATGGCAGCCATGAGAACATCAGCAGACTGGGTAAAAACGAGAAAGAGGGGTCTAAGGTGGGCCCGTGACAACTTCGGCAAGCATACGTAGAGCAACGGTATAATGAGGGACTGAGAGGCCGGAGGACGAAGGGTCTTGAAGCACTATACTTATTTTGTTTACTTTGAAGCAGTTTATTTATTTTGTCTACTTTGTTTATTTATTTATTTATCTTCTTTAGATTTCGCAGGAAGAAATTTTCGGCCGATTTTGGAATGCGGATACCGGTCTTCCTGGTTACGAAAATAGCACGGGTCTTTTTGGGTACCGGCGTGATCGTAGAATAGGATGAGAGAGGGGCATGTACGTGGGCACTTAGGGAGGCAGATTCTGAGGCCGTTTTTCGAAGCTAGACTCGGCGACGGTTAGTCGCAACGCGTCTTGACCGGCGGGTCGTGTGAGCTGCATATTTAGATCTTGTTGGTGATTGGGGATACAAACTCGCAAGGCGAGCAGAGGAGAACATACACGGGCATTACTATATAGCATGGGAGACATGGCCTTAGTCTCCCTTTTTTAGCACAGAGACTCCTCGGAGTCACCCCTCCTAATGATGCCTGCGCGGACGGGCGAAACCGGTGGGGGGACCGCATGTCTGCTCCTTTCAGTCTTCAAGCAAGTGTGCCTTTCGTTTTTGTGAACTCGTTTGTGTGCTTGTGAAAACGATGGTGTCGGCTTGTGTTGGCTGGTCGAGCTGTGTGGCCGCAACTCTCTCTCTCTCTCTCTCTCTCTCTCTCTCTCTCTCTCTCTCTCTCTCTCTCTCTCTCTCTCTCTCTCTCTCTCTCTCCCCCTATGAACGAAGGCGCTTCTGACAACCAAGA